TGGTTCTATCATCAAAACATGGGGAAAGTGTATTAAACTGCAAAAACTTTGTTTCTGCAAGGACATCTTGCAGAACATTTTGCAATAGTTTTTCAACAAATATCTCATCGAGGAGCACCCAGTTGTGCAGCGGGTTAAACTGCTGAGCTGCTGAACTTGCTGACTGAAAAGTTGGTAGTTCAAATTTGAGGAGCGGGGTGAGCTTCTGCTGTTAGCCCCAGTTTCTGCCAACCTAGCAGTTTGAAAGCATGCAAATGTGAATAGATCTTAGGTACTGCTTTGGTGGGAAGGTAATAGCAGTCCATGCAGTCATGCCGGCCACATGACTTTGGAGTGTCTGTGGACAACGCCGACTCTTTGGCTTAGAAATAGAGATGAGCACCAACCCACAGAGTCGGACACAACTGGACTCAATGTCAAGGGAAAAGCTACAATGGTGGTCCATGCAGTGATGCTGGCCACATGACCTTGGAGGTGTCTACGGACAATGCCAGCTCTTCAGCTTAGAAACTGAGATGAGCATTAACCCACAGAGTCGGACACAACCGGACTTAATGTCGGGGGGAAACCTACAATGGTGGTCCATGCAGTCATGCCGGCCACATGACCTTGGAGGCGTCTGTGGACAACGCCGGTTCTTTGGCTTAGAAATGGTGATGAGCACCAACCCACAGAGTCGGGCACAACTGGACTTAATGTCAGGGGAAAAGCTACAATGGCGGTCCATGCTGTCATGCCTGCCACATGACCTTGGAGGCGTCTATGGACGACGTCGGCTCTTTGATTTAGAAATGTAGATGAGCACGAACCCACAGAGTCGGGCACATCTGGACTTAATGTCAGGGGAAAAGCTACAATGGTGATCCATGCAGTCATGCTGGCCACTTGACCTTGGAGGTGTCTGTGGATGACGCTGGCTCTTTGGCTTAGAAATGGAGATGAGCACCACGACTAGACTTAATGTCAACCTTTTTATCTCATCGAGTCTCGACCAATTCAACATGGCTTGTAACAGCCACAAAAACAAAGTTTCTAAAGTAGAAAAAGTACTTTCAAAGTAAATACTGCACAATTAAACAGGAAATAACACTTTCAAGCCAGGAATATGATTTATTTTTCAAATTTTGTTACATAGGAAGCACTGCCCATAGCAGCCGCCAGGGGTCGCCTTCAGACTGAGGAAGGAGGAGGGAAGCGGAGGGGGGCTTTCTCAGCTGGAGGAGTCCAAAGTCACAATAACATGTTTTGGTGTTGGCTCCTTCCTTATGTAATCCGGAACTTCGACTCACTTCAGCCAGACTTTGCCCTTTTGGTGGCAGTGGTGGGAAGGGGCCTTGCCAAACTACAACTCTCAGGTTTTCTATCCTGTTGAGCCTTGGAAAACTGCATTCCTTCCGCAGTGCAGATGTTTGGGTTGGAATGATCCTTATTAGGAAAAGAGGAGTTACTCTTAAAGTAAAGGTGAAGTTTTCCCCTTGACATTAGTCATGTCCGACTCTTCATTGACTCTCATCTCCATTTCTAACCAGAAGAGCCAGCGTTGTCTGTAGACACCTCCAAAGTCATGTGGCCGGCATGACGGCATGGAGCGTTGTTACTTTCCTGCTGAAGCAGTACCTATTGATCTACTCACATTTGCATGTTTTCAAACTGCTAGGTTGGTAGAAGCCGGGGCTAACAGCAGGAGCTCACCCCACTCCCCGGAGTCGAACTGCCAACCTTTTGGTCAGCAAGTTCAGCAGCTCAGCGGTTTAACCCGCTGCACCACCAGGGGCTCTTGGGACTAAAATTCCCAGCAGCCTAAGAGTTGTAGTGCACCAAGATTATAATAATAACAACACTATGTAATAAAATTTGAGGGGAAGAAATCAGTTCTGGGTTTGAAAGTGTTATTTCCTGTTTAATTGTGCAGAACTTATATTGAAAGTAGTTGTCCCAGTCCAGAAACTTAGTTTTTGTAGCTGCCACAAACTAGGCCGCAATTGATTGAGACGCAGTGAGATATTCATTGAAAAATTGTAGCAAAATGTGCTGCAGGATGTCTTAGAGAAACAAAGTCTTTGCAGTTTAATAAACTTTTCCCATGCTTTGATGATAGAACCAATTAGGAAATGGCATTTATAACCCTGGAACAAATATCATGTTACATAGTGTTATAGTAATAATAATAATAATAATAATAATAATAATAATAATACAACAACAACAACAACAACAATATAACAGTTGTCGAAGGCTTTCATGGCTGGAATCACTGGGTTATTTTTGGGGATGTATGGCCATGATCCAGAAGCATTCTCTCCTGACATTTCGTCCACATCTATGGCAGGCATCCTCAGAGGTTGTGAGGTCTGTTGGAAACTGAGCAAGTGAGGTTTATATATCTGTGGAATGTCCAGGGTGGGAGAAAGAACTCTTGTCTGATTGAGGCAAGTGTGAATGTTGCAATTGTCCAGCATTTCATAGCCTTGCAGCTTCAAAATCTGGCTGCTTCCTGCCTGGGGGAATCATTTTTATGTTGTTAGGTTGTTGTGAGCTTTCCAGGCTGTATGGCCATGTTCCAGAAGCATTCTCTCCTGATGTTTCACCCACATCTATGGCACACATCCTCAGAGGTTGTGAGGTCTGTTGGAAACAAGGCAAGTGGAATGCCCAGGGTGGGAGAAAGAACTCTTGTCTGTTGGAGGCAAGTGTACATGTTGCAATTAGCCAGCTTTGTTAGCATTAGCGTTTTATTATGTTATTTTACACTGTTTGTTTTATTTTGTTACATTATGCATTTTGTTGTGTTTAATTTTTTGTTGTATCTTATTTTGCTGTATTATTTTTGGGCTTGGCCTCATGTTAGCTGCAACGAGTCCCCTTTGGGAAGATGGTGACAGAGTATAAATAAAGTTTATTATAGCTTTGTAGCTTCAAACCCTGGCTGCTTCCTGCCTGGGGGAATCCTTTGTTGGGAGGTTTTAGCCAGCCCTGATTGTTTCGTAGAATCATAGAATCAAAGAGTTGGAAGAGACCTCATGGGCCATCCAGTCCAACCCCCTGCCAAGAAGCAGGAATATTGCATTCAAATCACCCCTGACAGGTGGCCATCCAGCCTCTGTTTAAAAGCTTCCAAAGAAGGAGCCTCCACCACACTTCGGGGCAGAGAGTTCCACTGCTGAACGGCTCTCACAGTCAGGAAGTTCTTCCTCATGTTCAGATGGAATCTCCTTTCTTGTAGTTTGAAGTTTCCTGTCTGGAATTCCTGGATTTTTTAAGTGTTGCTCTTTTATTTACTGTCTTGATTTTAGAGTTTTTTATATACTGGTAACCAGATAGTGTTCATTTTCATGGTTTCTTCCTTTCTGACAAGAAACAATCAGGGCCAGTTAACACCTCCCAAGAAAGGATTCCCCCAGGCAGGAAGCAGCCACGCTTTGAAGCTGCAAGGCTACTCAATGCGGGACAATTGCAACATTCACACTTGCCTCCAATAGACAAAAGTCTGCTTGTATGCCCCCACAAACACCAGTCTCACCTTTCATTCATGGCCCAGCATTATTTCCAATTTTAACTCTACATTTGGCCTTCCCACCATTTTAATTATGTGTTGCTTTTTTGATAATGTTGTGTATTTTATTGTCTATGTTTTTAATTGCTTGTATTGCTGTTTTATTCCTTGTATTGTTGTGTTTGGGCTTGGCCTCATGTAAGCCGCACCGAGTCCCTTGGGGAGATGGTAGCGGGGTACAAATAAAGTGTTATTATTATTAAAAAGAAAACAAAAAAAAATTGTATTGTCGAAGGCTTTCATGGCTGGAATCACTAGGTTCTTGTGGGTTTTTTCGGGCTATAGGGCCATGTTCTAGAGCATTTCTCCTGACGTTTCGCCTGCATCTATGGCAAGCATCCTCAGAGGTAGTGAGGTCTGTTGGAAATAGGACAATGGGTTTATATATCTGTGGAATGGCTGGGGTGGGGCAAAGAGCTCTTCTCTGCTGGAGCTAGGTGTGAATGTTTCAACTGACTACCTTCATTAGCATTTGAAGGCCTCTCAACAAAAGATTTTCCCAGGCTCAAGCAGCCAGGGAAATGCTAATGAAGGTGGTCAGTTGAAACATTCGCACCTAGCTCCAGCAGAGAAGAGCTCTTTGCCCCACCCCAGCCATTCCACAGATATATAAACCCATTGTCCTAATTCCAACAGACCTCACTACCTCTGAGGATGCTTGCCATAGATGCAGGCGAAACATCAGGAGAAAATGCCTCTAGAACATGGCCCTATAGCCCGAAAAAACCCACAAGAACCTAAAGGGTTCTTTCTCCCAACCTCGACATTCCACTTGCCTAGTTTCCAACAGACCTCGCAACCTCTGAGGATGCCTGTCATAAATGTGGGTGAAACATCAGGAGAGAATGCTTCTGGAACATGACCATACAGTCTGGAAAGCTCACAACAGCCCAACAATATAGCTTTGGCTGTAGCTCTAGTGTTCCATTCTTCTGCAGACCCCACCCCCTTTCCTTTCCATTCCATGGAGAGGGAGGGGGAGTGAGAGAGAGAGATGGGGGTGTGGCCTTATTTGCATGCCAGGCTGAGACCATGTGACGTCAGGGCGCCTCCCTATAAAAAGTGCCTGGGTGCCGAAATAGGCTCAGTGCCGTCCTGCGTGTCTGCGGTGGTGCCTGCCTCTTGCCTTCCGTCCATCCATCCGCCTGCCCTTTTGCTCACTCACTGGCTAGCCAGCCTCTTCCTTTGCCCCTCACTCGCCATGAGCACCGGTGTGTACCAGTCTGCCATGGAAGTGGCAGTGTACCAGCTGCACAACTTCTCCATCTCCTTCTTCTCCTCCTTGCTGGGCGGAGACGTGGTCTCGGTCAAGCTGGACAACAGGTAGAGCCAGGGCAGGAAAGAGAGGAGGGAGGGGGATATGTGCCACCTTTGCCCAGCTGTTCTTTGGATGCCCCTTCCTTCCTTTTCCTCCCTTCTCACCCTCTCTCTCTCTCTCTCCTTGCAGTGCCTCCGGGGCCAGTGTGGTCGCCATCGACAACAAGATCGAGCAAGCCATGGTGAGTCAGATCCCCTTCTTCGCCTTCTGCTATTGGGAAGGGGCGCGGCCCTTTGTTGTGCTCGCCCACCGCAATGCAGCCCCGCCGTCCTCTTCCTGAAAGATCACACTGCCAAATAGAAAATCCAGATGGTCTGCTTTGAGTAGGATCAGCTGTCAGCATAGTTATCATCCGGTTCAAAGCATATCCTGGGGATTATTATCTGCTTTGATAATCTGGATGATCTATGGCACTATAGGTCTCTTCTAGGCCACCTAAGGTGGAATCTCTAAAGCAGGAATCTCTAAAGCAGGCATAGGCAAACTTGGGCTCTCCTTCCGGGTGTTTTGGATTTCAATTTCCACCATTCCTAACAGCCTCAGGCTCTTTCCTTTTTACTCTTTAGCCACTTAGGTCTATCCTCCCCCAAACCACACCAGGACGTAAAGTGAGTCATGGGGATTATGTGTGCCAAGTTTAGTCCAGGTTCATCATTTGTGGGGGCCACAGTGGTCTCAGGAAGTGAGAGAAGGTACTGCAAGTCCCATCATCCATATTCCATCCTCTTCCAAATCACACTATAACATAAAGTGGGTCGTGGGGGTTATGTGTGCCAAGTTTAGTCCAAGTCCATCCTTCGTGGGGGTCACAGTGGTCTCAGGAAGTGAGTGAAGGTACTGCCAGTCCCATCATCCATGGTCCGTCCTGCACCAAACCACCCCAGAACATAAAGTGAGTCATGGGGATTATGTGTGCCAAGTTTAGTCCAAGTCCATCATTCGTGGGGTCACAATATTCTCAGGAAGAGAGTGAAGGTACTACAACTCCCATCATCCATGGTCCATCCTCCTCCACACCACACCGGAACATAAAGTGGGTCATGGGGGTTATGTGTGCCAAGTTTAGACTAGGTCCATCCTTCGTAGGGGTCACAGTAGTCTCAGGAAGTGAGTGAAGGTACTGCAAGTCCCATCATCCATCGTCCGTCCTCCACCAAACCACACAAGAACATAAAGTTGGTCATGGGGGTTATGTGTGCCAAGTTTAGTCCAGGGAGCCCCCGGTGGTGCAGTGGGTTAAACCCCTGAGGGTTTAACCCTGAGGGACTGAAGTCTGACAGGTCACAGGTTCAAATCTGGGGAAAGCGCGGATGAGCTCCCTCTATCAGCTCCAGCTCCTCATGTGAGGGCATGAGAGAAGCCTCCCACAAGGATAATAAAAACATCAAAACATCCGGGTGTCCCTTGGTCAACGTCCTTGCAGACGGCCAATTCTCTCACAATAGAAGCGACTTGCAATTTCACAAGTCGCTCCTGACACAACAAAAAAAAAAGTCCAGGTCCATCCTTCATGGGGGTCACAGTGGTCTCAGGAAGTAAGTGTAGTTATTTCAAGTCCCATCACCCATGACCCATCTTCCTCCAAACCACACCAGAACATAAAGTGGGTCGTGGGGGCTCTGTATGCCATTTTTGGTCCTGATCTGTCATTGGTGGGGATAACAATGGTCTGTGGGAGCTGAAGCAATTGAAAGTACTGCAGACCCCATCATCCATGGTCTGTCTTTCTCCAAACTTTACCAGAAAAGGAAGGGGCCTGAGGCTGTTAGGAATTGTGAGAGTTGAGGTCCAAAAGCACCTGGAGGGAGGACTGAAGTTTGCCCATGCCTGCCCTAGAGATTTCTGGCCCTCTTGTGAGTTCCCAAGCTCTCTTCCAGAGGAAATAATGAAGTCTTGGAGGTTTTTTTGCCTCCAATATTGCAGTCTTGGAGGTGTTTGTGATGGCGCTTGCATCATCCTTTGTCAAGGGAGGGCTGATCTGCTTCCTCTCTCTGTGCGTGTCTCTCTCTCAACTCTGCTCCTCCTCTTCCTCTTTGTAGGATCTGGTCAAGAACCACCTGATGTTTGCCGTGCGGGAAGAGGTGGAGGTCCTGAAGGAGCAGATCAAGGAGCTGGCCGAGAAGAACTCCCAGCTGGAACGGGAGAACAGCCTCCTGCGCAACTTAGCCAGCCCCGAACAGCTCCAACGCTTCCAGTCTTGCCTGCCGCTGGAGGGGCCTCCCTCACCCTCACCCTCGCCGACCTCCTCCTCCTCCGCCGCCATCTTGGCCTCCTCTGGGGAGAAGCAGAGCGCCTTGGGGCCGGGAGTCATCCCAGGGCAGCACCGGGCAGGCTCTGCGGTGTAAGGTGGCTCTGTCCAAGGGGTGGGCAGAGCCACAGGACGCTTCCTCTTTGACCTCCGCGGAAAGGGGTCTTTTCCTCTCCTCTGCTGTGTGGGTCGGCCCCACATGGAAGAAGGTGCCTGGGGTCGCCGGTTCACGTTTGCATGCCTGCAGAAGGTGGGCCTTGGGAGTGCCCTCAGCCCCACGTCCTCCTCAAGAGAGACTGCCATGCCATCGGGGCCGGGGGCTCCTTCCTCCTTGGCAAACAGACTGTTCAAACTGGAACGAGTCGCCGGTTGATGTGGGTTTGTGTTTCACGACCAAAAGGACCTCTTCGACTTCCCCCTAAGTTTTTTTCTGGAAAGGGGGGCACCTCGTTGGGTGTTGTGTTATTATTATTTTTGTACAGCACTTAGTGCCAAACGTCTTTCCATCTGAATAATGAATGATGTACCGAATGCTAGGACTTGGACTGAACCGAAGCCTTTGTTGCCAATTGTGTGGCACAGCGGGACTTTTGCCCGAAACGGTTTGGTTCCTCCTTCTCACAACCTCCCTCTCTGCAATAGAGAGGGGGAGCTCTCCTCCCCTCTGCCTTTCTAAAGCCTTGGGGGGGACTTTGGACCAAGAACGGGACAAATGGAAGAGACTCAGTTAAAGGAACTGATGGGAGTGGGGGTCTGGCTTGGGGAGCAGCCCCTTCGCTGCTCCTGCTGCTCTGTTTTAGAATCATAGAGTTGGAAGAGACCTCATGGGTCATCCAGTCCAACCCCCTGCCAAGATGGTGTAATATCTCTCGTTAATGGTGTAATATTTTGAGAAACTGTAATAAAAGTCTACATTTTTTATATTATCCCAGTGAAGGTCCTGTTTTCTTGTTGGGAGGGGGGAATGTGGGAGAGGATGGCAGTTTTGGGGTGCCCTGAATGGGAGATGGTGGTCGGGGCCATCTCTTGGCTGACCTGATTTACATCCAACACAGTCTTGTTTATTTATTTAGTATTTATTTGCGACATTTATATGCCGCCCTTCTCACCCCGAAGGGGACTCAAGTGCGGCTTACAAGATATATATACATACAATATATTATATTATATTATTAGCATATTACAATATCAGTATTATATATTACTATATTGTACTATACCATTATATTGTAATATTATTAGTAATATTACATGTATATAAAATAAATATGATGAGGAAACACAACATACAAACTATCTACAGACCCACCAAGAAAATCCAACAAATATATTATATTATATTATATTATATTATATTATATTATATTATATTATATTATATTATTAGCATAGCACAGGAGACAAGGTGGAACTGTCTTCTGGACCCCTCTCTCTTCACTCTGGCCCAGAGCAGCAGTTGGTGCTGGGGAGGGGTCCCCAACTGATGACATATGCAGGAGACAAGATGGAACTGTCCCCTGGGCCCCTCTCTCTTCATTCTGGCTCAGAGTGGCAGTTGGTTCTGGGGGAGAGGTCCCCAACTCATGACATATGCAGGAGACAAGATGGAACTGTCCCCTGGGCCCCTCTCTCTTCACTCTGGCTCAGAGTGGCAGTTGGTGCTGGGGGAGAGGTCCCCAACTCATGACATATGCAGGAGACAAGATGGAACTGTCCCCTGCCCCCCCCCCTCTTCACTCTGGCCCAGAGCGCAGTTGGTGCTGGGGGGAGGGGTCCCCAACTGATGACATATGCAGGAGACAAGATGGAACTGTCCCCTGCCCCCCTCTCTCTTCACTCTGGCCCAGAGTGGCAGTTGGTGCTGGGGGAGGGGTCCCCAACTGATGACATATGCAGGAGACAAGATGGAACTGTCCCCTGGCCCCCTCTCTCTTCACTCTGGCCCAGAGGTGTAGTTGGTGCTGGTGGAGGGGTCCCAACTGATGACATATGCAGGAGGCAAGATGGAACTGTCCCCTGGCCCCCTCTCTCTTCACTCTGGCCCAGAGGTGTAGTTGGTGCTGGTGGAGGGGTCCCAACTGATGACATATGCAGGAGGCAAGATGGAACTGTCCCCTGGCCCCCTCTCTCTTCACTCTGGCCCAGAGGTGTAGTTGGTGCTGGTGGAGGGGTCTCAACTGATGACATATGCAAGAGGCAAGATGGAACTGTCCCATGGCCCCCTCTCTCTTCACTCTGGCTCAGAGCGGCAGTTGGTGCTGAGGGAGGGGTCCCCAACTGATGACATATGCAGGAGACAAGATGGAACTGTCCCCTGGCCCCTCTCTCTTCACTCTGGCCCAGAGCGGCAGGTGCTGGTGGAGGGGTCCCCAACTGATGACATATGCAGGAGGCAAGATGGAACTGTCCCCTGGCCCCCTCTGTCTTCACTCTGGCCCAGAGCGGCAGTTGGTGTTTTAAAGCAACTGGAACGCTGTGCAAAAAGCAAGGCTTGCACACCAGTACCTTTCATTCCAGAGCATGGAGGAAATCGCTTGAGCCAATGGGAGACCAGGCATGGGCAAACCTGGGTCCTCCAGATGTTTGGACTTCAACTCCCACAATTCCTAACAGCCTCAGGTCCCTTCCTTTCTCCGCTCAGCCACTTAAGTGACTAAGAGGGAAAAGGAAAGGGCCTGAGGCTGTTAGGAATTGTGGCAGTTCAAGGGCCAAACTTTCCCCATGCCTGCCCTAGAGATTTCTGGCCCTCCAGTGACTTCCCAGGCTCTCCTCCAAAGGCAATATTAGAATATTGGAGGTGTTTGTGCTGCAGATGATGGCACTTGCAATGGGTGAGGCTCCTTCTCCTTTGCCAAGGGAGGGCCACTTTCTCCTTCTGTTTTGAACATGACACCCCAGAGCAGAAGGTCCCGGTGCCAAAGAGTAGCCAGAAAACTCTGCAGATGGCCACCATATCCTTTTCTCTCATTCTGCAAATTTCATTGCAACGTTCGGACCCATATTACTATGTACATTACTATGAAGACCATACAAAATCCATATAATTTGAACTGGATTGTATGGCAGTGTAGACTCATATAAGCCAGTTCAAAGCAAGTAATGTGGCTCGTTCGCTTTGATAACCTGGATTGTATGGCAGTATAATATAGTATAGTAAACGTCAAAAAAACCAAGATTATGGCAACAAGAATGATTGACAACTGGAAAATAGGGGGAGAAAATGTGGAGGCCGTGACAGACTTTGTATTTCTAGGTGCAAAGATTACTGCAGATGCAGACTGTGGCCAGGAAATCAGAAGACGCTTCCTTCTTGGGAGGAGAGCAATGTCCAGTCTCGATAAAATAGTAAAGAGTAGAGACATCAGACTGGCAACAAAGATCCGCCTAGTCAAAGCCATGGTATTCCCTGTAGTCACCTACGGATGTGAGAGCTGGACCTTAGGGAAGGCTGAGCGAAGGAAGACAGATGCTTTTGAACTGTGGTGTTGGAGGAAAGTTCTGAGAGTGCCTTGGACTGCGAGAAGATCCAACCAGTCCATCCTCCAGGAAATAAAGCCCGACTGCTCATTGGAGGGAAGGATACTAGAGACAAAGTTGAAGTAGTTTGGCCACATCATGAGGAGACAGCAAAGCCTAGAGAAGACAATTATGCTGGGGAAAGTGTAAGGTAAAAGGAAGAGGGGCCGACCAAGGGCAAGATGGATGGATGGCATCCTTGAAGTGACTGGACTGACCTTGAAGGAGCTGGGGGTGGTGACGGCCGACAGGGAGCTCTGGCGTGGGCTGGTCCATGAGGTCACGAAGAGTCGGAGATGACTGAACGAATGAACAACAACATAGATAAGGCCCCTTGGTGGTGCAGTGGGTTAAACTTCTGAGTTGCTGACCAAAAGGTCGGCAGTTAGAATCCGGAGATCGGGTTGAGCTCCCACTGTTAGCCCCAGCTCTTGCCAACCTAGCAGTTCAAAAACATGCAAATGTGAGCAGATCAATAGATACTGCCTTGGCTGGAAGGTAACTGTGCTTCATCGAATTTATAGTTTCAGGAGTTACTTGTTATGATCAGCTGAGGAAGTGCTTAAGCGGCTGAGGGGGAAAAGGAAGGGGCCTGAGGCTGTTAGGAATGGTGGGAGTTGAAGTCCAAAACATCTGGAAGGAGGACCCAAATTTGCCCATGCCTGCTCTATCATCTTCTGTCTCTTCCAACTCCTTGTTGGGGAGTTAGCGGAGTCGAACCCCTTGCCTCTTATGAGTGGTAGGCAGGTTCTCTTATCCTCTTTTCCAATGGCAACTACCTTGAAAGGGAGCAAGACTGGGGCACCGTAGCTTTGTATCCAAGGATATCCCAAACTATGGCTACTGAGGAGGCCTTCCCCACAAAGTGGGGCCTGTAGAGAAGGCAGCTTCCTTGTTGTTGTTTTCCTTTCTGGCCTGAGAAAACGGAGCCTGTGGTTGTTTGTTGGGTGCCAAGGGCCTCTGAGTGGCTGGGCAAAGCCAGGGTTGGCCTTCGCCTCCCAACAGATAAGCTTCAGGCCTTCGCAGCTGGAAGCGGAGATAAGGAAAGCCCTGCTCCGGTTTCTCTGCAGGAACCCAAACAAGGTGTCTCCTTTCCTGCAACTCAGCAAATTTGTGTTCCAAGGCAGGGCAGCCAAAGTCTGCCCTGCCTCCACATATCGCTGGATTGCAGCTCCCAGCATCCACTACCCCAGTTATAGGACTGATAGGAGTTGTGGCTGGAGCCGTGGTTCTCACCTTCCTAATGCCGCAACCCCTTAATACAGTTCCTCAGGTTGTGGTGACCCCCAAACATAAAATTATTTTCGTTGCTATTTCTGCAATTTTGCTACTGTTATGAGTTGTAATGTAAATACTGTATCTGATGTGCAGGATGTATTTTCATTCACTGGACCAAATTTGTATGGCAGTATTGATAAGGCCTCTTGGTGGTGCGGTGGGTTAAACCTCTGAGCTGCAGACCGTGCTGACCAAAAGGTCGGCAGTTCGAATCCGAAGATCAGGGTGTGGTCCCACTGTTAGCCCCAGCTTTTGCCAACCTAGCAGTTCAAAAACATGCAAATGTGATCAGATCAATAGGTATAGCTTTGGCCAAAATATGCCCAAATTTGAATACTGGTGGGGTTGGGGGAGGATTGATTTTGTCATTTGGGAGTTGTAGTTGCTGGGATTTATAATTCACCTAAAATCAAAGAGCATTCTGAACTCCACTAACAATGGAATTGAATGGAACTTGACACATAGAACTCCCATGACAAACAGAAAATACTGGAAAGGTTTGGTGGGCATTGACCTGGAGTTTGGGAGTTGTAGTTCACCTAAATCCAGAGAGCACTGTGGACTCAAACAATGATGCATCTGGACCAAACTTGGCATAAAGACTCAATATGCTCAAATCTGAACATTGTTGGAGTTTGGAGAAAATAGATCCACCAATGATGGAATTGAATCAAACTTGGCACACAGAACTCCCATGACAAACAGAAAATACTGGAAAGGTTTGGTGGGCATTGACTTGGAGTTTGGGAGTTGTAGTTCACCTACATCCAGGGAGCACTGTGGACTCAAACAATGATGAATCTGGACAAAACTTGGCATGAATACTCAATATGCCCAAATGTGAACACAGGTGGAGTTTGGGGAAAATATACCTTGATATTTGGTAGTTGCAGTTGCTGGGATTTAAAGTTCACCTACAATCAAAGAGCATTCTGAACTCCACCAACAATGGAATTGAATCAAACTTGGCACACACAACTCCCATGACAAACAGAAAATACTGGAAAGGTTTGATGGGCATTGACTTGGAGTTTGGGAGTTGTAGTTCACCTACATCCAGAGAGCACTGTGGACTCAAACAATAATGAATCTGGTCAAAACTTGGCACATATACTCAATATGCCCAAATGTG